CAAATGGAGCAATTTCTAATAAGGAGCCATAAGGGGCCAACTGCATCACGGACCCACTTTTCAGGACATCAAAGCATCTGAACAGGCTCATCGCTGCAGAGAAAAGCATTGCCAAAGTAATCAACGTAGGGAGGGAATCACTGGCTATTTACCTATCACAGTCCTTGTGGTTTCCAGTGAAGCAGACGAGGTGGATTCCAGGTCCGGACTCTGGGTTGCTACGGTCAGACATGGAAATGGTCTTGAGATATCCACACAGTCTTGCCACGGCAGTACAAGCAGCACCGGTTCACAACACCCCAAATGTCTGTATTTAGGGCAACACATGCCTTTTCCTGGCAGTATCTTGTGACTGATCAAATCAGCAGGCAGCCGTCTTGCCGTGGTTGAAACTAACACAGTACTCTTAGAAACTCAGTACCTAAATGACTCTCCATCAGTAGAAAAATGGCTAAAGGACTACTTCACCAAAGCACTCCCTACATTTCCTTGAAAGATACCTAAAAAACAGTTGTTGCGGAACGAACATGGGAGCCAAGAGACCCACCTTTGGATTCAGAATTCAAGATGACAGGTGGTGGGTACCTCTCAAATGCAAGCAACTACAAATACTCAATACTTCCTTATCCTCACATGAAGGAATAAACTGCACATTATCCTATAAATATCCAGTCATAACTCCAATTCTCCTTAGAAGTTCAATAATTTTTGCAAAAAGGTATTTTCTTACTGTTGTTGTTACTATTATTATTATTATTATTTGTACTAAGAACAGACTATATAAGGCCTCACCATTCCCATGAAAGGCCTCAACATTCCCATGACATCTGAATATTCCCATTCTTCCTTTAGGTTAGTTGCTAAGCCAATGAGCAACATGCCTATCCACCAAGCTTGAACTTCAGTGCTCAAATCAGTGAAATGAAAGAGGAAAAAATAATTGATGTCTTGTAAGGAATCTATGGGACAGCTATACTACAACAATAGCAAGACTAAGAGGAAGTAAAATTATGTTTCTGCCATATTGGAATATTTCAGTCTAGAAAGAATTTTCAAAATAAAAACCGCATCTAGAGAGACACAGGCATTTTGTGACAAATTCTTTTTGCCAGCTGTGTCTGCAAAAAGTGATTTTTCAAGTGATGGAAAAAAGCATAGGTTCAAACATCAGAATCATGTCGTTAGTATGGCAAGTGTTCTTGCAAGCCAAAGTGCATTAACAAACCTAGGTATTGCTCAAAGCAGAGGCAAATTATGTCAAGTGATGGCAGGGGAAAAGAAAAAATGAAAATACCATATTTACCCTCCACTGTTCCTTGGCTTGAAAGGTAAGGAGAAGTAGATTTCAGCTTTGGTCTCTGAGTAACTAAGATTAAACCAGAAAACTGCCTTCAGATATTACAGATGAACAGTTTTTTTCAAAGCAGTGTCAATACAGAGTTTTAAATGAATGAAGCCCATATTACATTCAGCTTTTGTACATAAATATTTGCAATCTTTACAGTATTATTCAATTTTTAAATCAGGGTGGCCTAGTTGAGTTAATGTAGAATACAAACAGTTAACCTTTTAGTGAACTAGGCCTATAGAGCAGAAAATTACAAAGAAGGATTGAGAAGCTTAACGATTAAGTATCGCCTTGTTACCTTTTATATAAATGACTGACCACCTCACAGATATGTTTGGCATTTTCACTAACAGGAAAAATAATCAAAAGGTTTTGACTAAATTTTAAAATAATGGTTTTCATATTTAAGTACTGCCAAAATGATAGAAATTATGATGGAATCACTGTTTACCCATCACTGTCCTCGTGGTTTCCAGTGAAGGAAAAGATGTGGGCTCCAGGACTGGTCTTGGGAGAACTAAGATTAGAGATGGAAACTATCTTGAGATGTTATGGCAGTCTCTCTATGCATATGAAGGCATCACTTCAATCACATCCAAATAAACCAGTATTTAAATTGTGGTTTCTCAGGTATACTTTTCCTACCAAATAAATCATATATCAATATTTTGCCACTCTGTATTACCAAAAAAACCCCAACCACTGGCTAAACACTGCTCCTAGTAGATAATAATGGCAGTCATGATGTTCCAGAGCTACCTTTTAACTGCAATAAATGACAGATCCCAAAATCCATTTTTTAGCATCAAACAAGTATTTTCAGACTATAAATGGAGAACTAGTCAATGAGTATGTAGCCAGAACTTCAGCCTGCATCAAAGATACTGTCAAGTTTTGGAAAAGACCACCTTATATTTAATCTGAAAAACAATTAACTAGCTCTGATTACTATATTCTTCACCATCCTTAGAAATCTGAACTTTGGGGCTAAAAAAAAATATGCCTGGAAAAAAAGGAAACAATAACTTCTCTGCAGAAATATGCATACAGGCGAACTTAATAAGGATTTCCATCAAGAGTTGAGCCAGCTACTAGAAGAAAAACAACTTGTGCTTGCTTAACCAAATCTTTAAGAACCTCTAATGAAACAGCATCTCCTTAATTTACAGGAGCAGGTTTTCATCCTGAAAAGGTATGAAGTACTTCAAACAGATAGAATCTCATAATGCTTGCTAGACAAGCATGAGCTAAAAGAAGAGTCACATTTATTTTCCAGAAATTAGTGAACAGATATGCAAATGGCAACAGTGCAATGCAAGGATCATGATAAAAATCCCTTTACTTGTATAAGAATGTATTATTGGAAAAAAAAGAGAGTTTCTGATAAAAGCATAGAGCAAATGCTTAACACAAGCAGAAGATAGGTCAAACAGTAGATACCTCAGAAAATGGAATCAAAATTTTGAAACTACCATCACACTTGCAAGAACATATTATACGAAAAGTGGAAGAGCACAAATATGGTGGACCAACAAAGAAAATTTCAAACATGGAATTCTTGTCCTGAAAGAACTCTGTTAGACTCCTCCAGTCTAAGCAAACATCATCCTTCGAAAATGCAATAAAAGTTTGTAGACTTAATTGACAGGGGGATGGACTGAAAGAGTTTCAGAAATTTCTTTCTTTCAATGATCCATTTGACTCCACGCTTCTCTGTGGCTCTGGGCTATTCACTGACCTCTCCATCT